GAGTACATATCCTTATGGTATCATCAATACAGAAAGAAGTAAAATGCCTCTAGAATATCGACAATAAAAATGTACTAACTGACGAATACATCAATTTGTTACTGTGTGAAGGATGTGTAAAATTAGTAAAAAAAAAAATTCATTCGAATCATGGTTATGATATCTACAATATATATAGACCATAATATATTCATCATAAATAGATTATATTTATTACATATCATACATATTATATTCCTTTACATATATCCTACATTCAACATATATATCATATTTTTATACATATATTATATTTTAGACTATATTGTACATACTTTATTTATACAAACTTATATCTATTTATAACAGATATTTATACATTATATAATTTGTATATACAAAAAATACATATATTTAAACATATTGTCTATTTCTACTTAAATCTTATATTTACACATATAATTTATTTCTACAATACCAGTAGACGGAATTCGACGATGGTGTCCACGTGTTTTATAGAACAACTGTTTTGACATTGAGATTAAGATCATGCATTAAGAGACACATAGCAGTTGGAATGATGTGTAATATAATAAAGAAATGTTTGATATTTAGGAAATATCCACAAAACAGCATTGACGCATATATTCATTTCGATTCATTATCAGACCATGATTACAATTATAATTATGTACAGTTTGTTATTGTGTGAAGGATGTGTAAAATTAGTAAAAAAAAAATTCATTCGAATCATGGTTATGATATCTACAATATATATAGACCATAATATATTCATCATAAATAGATTATATTTATTACATATCATACATATTATATTGCTTTACATATATCCTGCATATAACATATATATTACATTTTTATACATATATCATATTTTAGACTATATTGTACATACTTTAGTTATACAAACTTATATCTATTTATACATTATATAATTTGTATATACAAAAATACATATATATAAACATATTGTCTATTTCTACATATAATTATTTCTACAATACCAGTAGACGGAATTCGACGATGGTGTCCACGTGTTTTATAGAACAACTGTTTTGACATTGAGATTAAGATCATGCATTAAGAGACACATAGCAGTTGGAAAGATGTGTAATATAATAAAGAAATGTTTGATATTTAGGAAATATCCACAAAACAGCATTGACGCATATATTCATTTCGATTCATTATCAGACCATGATTACAATTATAATTATGTACAGTGTGGTCATAATCCACAAATCTTCATTTTGGATGCAAACAGTATAAACTTGTTTTTCTCTCAAAGAAGAATCTATGAAAAAACAACAAAAAGTTGATATGGCATCTGTCTGGACAAACGTTAAAGCTAATGTAGTATCATCACCTACATAGGTTTGATTTGATGTTATTATCAGACCATGATTCCAATTATAATTGTGTACAGTGTGGTCTTAATCCACCAATCTTGATTTTGGATGCAAACACACTTGTCTCGAAGAAGAATCTCTTATGAGGCCGAAGGAAACACAAGAAAATGGTGATGTTGCATCTTTTTGGACAAACGTTCAAGTTAATGTAGTATCACCATCTAAGTGCTCGAAAGGAATAAAACCTGAATTTATGTCAATACAAGGTTGATTTCAAGAATAGTTGGCAAATTGGCACCGCTACGGAATAGCTTCTGCCATTTTGTTTCGAACTCTCTGAAACGATCCGTCCAGATTCACGAATTCGTTCGATTGATGGTAATGATTGAATCTGTCTGGGCAAAGATTCAAGCTGATGTAGTATCATCACCTACGTGCTCGAAAGGTTTGATTTTATAAGTCATTATCGGACCATGATTACAAATATAATTGTGTACAGTGTGATCATCATCCACCAATCTTGATTATAGATGCAAACAGAAACAAACTTGTTTTGGTCTCTAAGAAGAATCTCTTTTGAGATCGATGGACACACAAAATGTTGTTTATGTTGTATCTCTTTGGACAAACGTTCAAGTTAATGTAGTATCACCATCGAAAGGAATAAGTGAGCAATGTTATCAAAAGTGTTTTATGTATAAATGAATGAGGTAATGTTTAAATGTCTCTGTTCTCAAGTCCACAAAAAAAAAACTCTCTCGTCACCTATATCAGTACCAAAAAAAAAACCACTTTTATTTCAATGTATGAACCCAGAGGAGAAACTAGAATTCAGTGATTTCTTGGAAATAATTGATGTAGAATTTGTTAAAGATCTGACATTACATTTGAAATTTTCATCATGCTTAAAAAAACTCTCGGAACATGTCTTAGACATAACACTCTGGTTCACCATGAGAGAGGAACGTTATTTAATTTTTCGATTCCGTAGCAAATAAGATAAATATTTTCATGATATTTCAGCTTAGTATTGATATAAATAGGACATTGTTGGCTAGAGCTTTCACATTCAAGAAACTGGTGTGAACCATTTTGTCATCCAAATACACCAGGGAGCAGATGACCCTAACTGGAAATTCGATACAGGATCAAGCCGAAACAAACTTTGAAACGGACACCTTTTATAAATGTCTGCTTGGTAAGTATTAAGAACTTAAGACAGAATTTAAAGCCACTTGTTTTCAATTGATAATTTATGTATGAACGATAACTTTCCAGGGACTATCATAGTACTAATGTGTCGTATTCTGGATTCACAATTTATTTATTCATGCATCAAAAGAAAATTAAAGACAATGTACATAACGCTTTGTTTAATTCAATTGCAATAAATCAATTCTGATGGATATTTAGCGGAACTAATTTTAAAGGTGAACGTTCAAACCAATGCCCTCCCCCTAGTGAAATCGAGCGGTTTTGTACATGGTTATTTGAGGAGGTAACCATTTTAACCCACCATACCTTGGGCCACTCTACATATTCCCCTCCAACTAGGGCCTACCGAGTAAACTCAGCATACCAGCGATCTTATAATGTCATTTTTATGTATTTTCAGAATATGTCCTATCAAAATTTCCACAAGTTAAGATAATGGAAATCAGGAGTTGCATCTCTGAAAAATTCAACAACGAAATGAAAGCACAAAAAAAAATATATAATATTGGATTAGTAGATAAATCTTTTGGTGTTTTTCTTTGTGTGGGATTTATGGATTTTAGGAGCAGGAGCATGATTTGCTTGTGAAAGTAAATCCTGTATTTGGAGCATCTTTCTGCAGTACACAGCCTTTTAACTTGATATGGATCCACTTTCCCTGGTCGAAACTGTTTAACTGTACGGTAAACCGCTTTCTCTCCATGGTTTTACCGTACGGTTATGGTTTTGTTATGGTTTTACTATACGGTTATGGGTTTTACCGTACACAGTAAAACTGTCTCAAATTACTGTACGGTTATGTTGTATGGTTAAAAATGTTGCTGTACGGTTTTACCGTGCCCTAATTTTTGTAAGGGTACTTACGTGCTCCAGAGGAACAAAACATGCATTTGACGTCAAGTTTGATTACAGCAATTGGTCTTCATGGATAGCACCGAACAGTACATATCCTTATGGTATCATCAATACAGAAAGTAGTAAAGTGCCTCTAGTTAAAAAAAGACAAACCCGACAATAAAAATGTACTAACTGACGAATACATCAATTTGTTATTGTGTGAGTAGGTGTAAAATTAGTAAAAAAAAAATGGCCTAAGAAGTTGGCATTAACAACAAAGGATCAAAGATGCACGCTGTTAGGTTTCAGGAAAAGTCAACGCAAAGAAGCAGATTTCGAGAAAACTTCAGTGAAACCTGGAGAAAGCTCGATTTGGACACTAGAGAGAAAGGGTGAGGTTGTGTTTCAACGAGGTCCGGTGTGTAGTTTGTCTATAGTTCTTAACACGACTTTTTAAATCTGTGCTTTAGTCTGGTTGGAGACTTGTTATAGACCCTTTGGATTGTTTAAACAAAACGTGACACAATACTGGTCATTGCATGCAAATCTTTAGATGTAGGCATGGGTTAAAGAAAGACCAATGCGACTTATGTATGTCAAAGAAACTATGACAGAATAATATTATACTGGCAGGTGATTTGGTGTATTGCTTTGAAGAGTGTCAGAGAGATGAGCCTTCATTTCTTCAATTTATTTTTTGACATGGAATATCACACATGCAACAATTGACTTATGTAACGACTTGCTTAATAGAAAAGAAAGCTTTCCAGAGTGCAACTCGGAAGAATTATTCATATTTCTAAATTCTTATTTATCTTTACTCAATATGATCTGGGAATAAGTATGCAAAGGTTTTAATATTGAAATCTAATCAAATGATCTATTCAAAAACACAATTTTATTGTAATATTTACAAATACAGTACTTTTCAAAAATGTTACTTTTCTCCAAATCTAATCATGATTCCTTTTGTCAATTCCAGAAGATGACATTTTATTTATTGTAGGCTAACATCCTTCACATCTTAGACTGCTATGGCAAATGGGTGAGCATCAAATGCTTAACACTTTCGGGAACGGACTTTGTCCCAAAACAAATCTCTTGCAATAGCCAACAATGTCATTGAAGGACGGACATTTATCAATATAAGCTATTACAGCCTTAATAAGTAAGGGATAAAGACCGAAAACTGTACTTCCTGTCAACAGAAGAAACAACTGAGGGGTGTTAGATAAAGGCCGAAAACTGTACTTTCTGTCAACAGAAGAAACAACTGAGGGGTGTTAGCCCCGAAAACTGTACTTTCTGTCAACAGAAGAAACAACTGAGGGGTGTTAGCCCCGAAGTTGTTTTTTCTGTTGACAGAAAGTACAGTTTTCGGCCTTTATCTGTCTTAAAACATAGTATCTGTGAGTAAATTTTGTTTGTGAGAGAGACTCAATGTATATCACTTTAAGAATCTAATCTTTTTGAACATTAAATGAGCATGCACACAGCTCACTACTGAATGTTGTTTTAAGACAGTTGTTACTTTAAGAATGTACACTTTTAAACATTCATGCATTCATTCATTGAATAGTTGATGCTTCAAGTGTCGAGATGTCAGGTTCTAGTGATGATGATATATTTATTACCCAAACAAAGACTTGTGAAATGGATGATTATAATTTAGAAACGGATACTGTTCTTAGTGATGCTCTGAATTTGGAGGAAAATTATGTAAAAGAAGCCATACAGTTACCAAACTTTGATTTGAAGTACTCTGATATAAGCGATGTTGAAACACCAAATTTACCAGAAAATGCCAAGACTTCACTAAGTATTAAAACTGAAAATAAAACTAGATGGGCAGTTAATTTGTTTAGTATGTGGAAGAAACACAGAAACAATAATAACTCTGAAGAAAAAGGTTTATTTAATCTTTCCAGTCAAGAATTGAATGAGGCACTTTCCTTTTTTATAGCTGAAGTGCGTAAGGAATCCGGTGATAATTATAAACCAAATACTTTGTATGAGATTATTATATCTATACAGGACTACCTTCGTCAGAATGGACGTTTAATAGCCTATATGGATGATCAAGAATATCAGGGTTCAAGAAGTGTTCTGAACAGTAAAATGAAGGAGTTGTCGAGACTTGGACTGGGTATTAATACCAAGAAGTCAGAAGTTATTACAATAGAACAAGAAGAGATTTTATGGAGTAAAGGCTTGTTAGGTTAAAGTAACCCACAGAAATTATTGGATACTCTTCTTTTCTTGTTTGGATTACATTTTGCACTGCGAGCTGCTCAAGAACACAGGAATTTAAGGTTTGGTATGAACACTCAATTGTCTGTTAAGTATGACTTAGAAGGTAAAAAATATCTGCAGTACATAGAAGATGTTTCAAAGACAAACCAAGGTGGTTTAGATCACAGGAAATTCAGTCCTAAAATGACAAGAGCTTATGAAAATTCTAACCCATTAAGATGTCCAGTTAGATTACATGAAAAGTATATAGCTCTGCGTCCAAAAAACGGTACAGTAGATGCATTTTATCTGCGTCCCATGAAGATGCCATGCTCTGATGTTTGGTACTGTGATTCTCCTGTAGGAATTCATACCATACAGTCCACTGTTAAACGTTTATGTCAGTCGGCTGGTATAATTGGAAACTTTAGTAATCATTCCCTTCGTGCCACAGCTGCAACTCGTTTATATCAAGCTGGAGTGGACGAGCAATTGATCACTGAAAAGACTGGACACCGATCTAATGCTGTACGAGCATATAAAAGAACAAGTGATGCCCAGCAAGCCTCTGTGAGTTCAGTATTGCATAGTGGTTCCAAAAAACATAAATTGGAAGAATTGGTGGATACAAGCCCAACTAAATTTAAGCAAGAACGTTGCGTTAATGAGGAAACCAGTGACAAAGAACATAAGGAACTCAGAGAGTTCAAACTTTCAATGCCAGGAATGAATTTGTCCATGAAATTTGATTCATTTGACTGTAGTATTGCTTCAAAAATTGCAATAATATGTTTGTTCTAGTTATCTGAAAGTCTGTTCTTTCTTAAGTTTAATAATGTACTATTTTTTCCAAAAACTGTACATTCTTAGGTCAAAGAAAGTACAGTTTTTGGAAGTTGTGAGTAGGTGTTCACAAAAACAGTACATTCTTTGAAATAATGGCCTAAAACAACAAAGGACTACTGTCTAACTATGTTTTAAGATTGTTTAATGTCACAACATGGGGAAACTTACACTAAAGTGCTACATTGCAACAGTTAACCAAAAAAGTCTGGTCCGTATTCCGTGAGCACTTCGGATTTCATCCTGGTGAGTGCAATTATAGTTCACGAGAAACTAAATTATATTATTCTCTTTCAAGGTTGTATGTTTGGATTGCTTCCTATTAACATGGCGATTTTTTAAAGAGTGTTTGTAATACATTTTGCAATAGTTGTTCTACAACCCACATCTTTAGTTAGTAGCGTGCCATTCATACCATCTAATCTAAATCCTTATCTTATTTTGGCGATTTTGGCCTCGTGAATATGAATCTGACAACAGGACGACTCTCTGACTACATTGAGCTCTGAATTGAATTTTTTTGTCATTTCATAAATATTCAAAATACAACTTTATGCCATTTGCCTTAGCAGAATGTCTTCGGGTTCGGTGATTTTACATTTCAAATAGTTTTACTTCCTTTCAGAAAATTCACTTGAAATGACCTACTTTAATTCCCGTCTTTAAATTCATGTTTAGAAATAGTAGCTTTTCCAGTGGTTAACAATTTCATCAACCCAAAGACAACACATGACTCTCAGTAGCCTAGTATTTTATTATATCAATGCATTCGAAATTGATTGGCAAAATTAAATTCAGAAAACTAGTGTAGTCAAAAGATTAGTTTGGTTGGGTAAATACAATGTAGTTTTTGATATAATTACAGTGGGAGCTACTATGCTTGTTTTCTACATGTTACTACTCTATTTCCGACTCGCTCTTACTCTACTCCCCAAAACGTACCCAAGCTCACGTATCTTTCATACTAAAGCGTTACTACATACTACAGTTATATGGCTCCTCGGTTGTTCTGCAATTAACAGTTAACAATGAAATTAAATAACATTACTAAAGAACATTTAGAACATAAATGAACATTGGCTATTTACAGTCAGTTTAACTCACCCCTCACAACTTTATGAAGTTTTCCTAGTTTCAACCAGCCTTGAAATCACTGACTAGATTACATGAGTAAAAACTAAATTTTATAGAAGTAGCGCATATTATTGAAACACAACATCTTAACCGTTTGGTTCATTTAGGACTAAATTTCTTCTCACTTTTATATAAGTTTAAGAATCTTATTCACAAATATTACTTTCACTTTTACATTATATTTATATATGAAATTATATTAAAAGTCCATACACATACGAGCATTAATATATCACATTTCACAGATTATTCTTGATAATCAGAATTCCAAATTCTTAAATCTAGTTCACTGTTAATTTATAATATACTCTACTTACTAAAACAATATTTAAAGGCCATACACATATCAGCACATATCAAAAAGGCTCCTTGGCGTGGATACACGGTCACTCATCTTTGCTTTTAAACAAAATAAACTTGAGGATTGGTCGTTCCAAACATTTAACTGGTTTCAGGCGTTCACCATCTGTGGATGAGTCTCGTGTCAGCAATTACTAGTTTAACTTTTCGAACTAGGTCGTCTTCATTGTGAAATGATTCAATTGTTCTGCCTAGACACCATCCATTTCTTGGTTATCAGGTTGGAGGTTCTTTTATTTGTGAGTCCATTTTTGGCGTGATTGGATACAGCTGAGGATCCACCAATGAACTAAAATCCAATGGAACGTGCATCTTCTCTGGTGCTGCATTCTTCTGTGATAATACTTTTTCAGTATCTTGGTAACATGTGATTTCCTTGGCAGGATAAAAGGATGCCGCTGTTCAAAGATAATATCTTGACTGATAATTCTTCCTCCTTCATGCTCCTTCTCTGATTAATCCAGATTCATCAAGAAATGAGTGTAATTTTGCGAGAATGCTAGACTAATTCAACTCCAGCTTCTTCTTCTTCTCGGCATCTCTATTGTTTGATTCTTCTCTATTCTTTTCTCTCATCTGTCTTCTTATTTCTTCAGCAAAGTCTTATGTTGATCTATCTTAATATTTCCTTTTCATCTTCTCATCTCAGTATTTATTTTCTTTGTCTATGAATTCTTTCTTTGACTTAAAATCATTGGATGTGGCAATAGCTCTCTTCATATTGTGCCAATTAGAAAAATATTCAAGTCTGGACTGATGGATGCTTAACAGCATTTGTAGCTAAAGTCGTTATTTTCTTGACTTTGGATCTTTTCCTGACAAACTAAAGAATTGTGCCTTGTTATCAGGTTCTGATCCAGTTGTATGCCACAAGAAATCCAATTAATGCTCTTTACTAGGTCGTTTGCGGATGATCATCTACTGGCAATATCGGCGACATTTAGTGATACTTCTATGTGACTCCACTGATCTGGCAAGGTATGATCTCGAATGCTCTGGATACGGTTTGTCACAAACACATGAAATCTTCTAGCGTCATTTCTAATATAACTAAGGACAACTTTACTGTCAGTCCAGAAAACAGTCTTCATCTGTTAGTACATTTTTTTTTATTCAAAATGTTGTTCAGTTGTATGGATACAACTGCTGCTGCTGGTTCTTGTTTTGAGATGGTATTTGTCGTTGAAAAATCAATAAAATCCACCTTTCCCATCTGATCTTAAACTGTTCTGAAATTTCATCATCCCATTCTCAATCATCTTTACAGAGGTCTTGTAATATCTTCTTTCCAACATGGGCAAAAGGTGATACCAAACAAAAATTATCAAATATTGAGCTTATAGTTGATTCACATCTTCTGGTGAAAGGTCTGCCATTGACTTCAATCCTGAATCTCAAGTGGTCATTTTCTATACACCACTAAACTCCTAAGACCCTTTAATTGTTTTCTTCTCCAAGGTTCGAATTCTTCACATCTACTGTACAAGCAGACTTAGGTATGACATCCAATACTGCTTTAGTATTACTGACAAACAAGTGTAGGTGGAATCATGCCTTCTATCAAAGATTAATGGTTTTTAGAATCACTTCAATTTCTTCTTCTTCTGTGGTTACTGACTTCAGACCACAATCCTCGTAGAAATAATTTTTGACAATGTTTGAAGCCTCTTCCCCAAATGCACACGATGTGGATCTTGATGGTAGTTTCCATTTTCCCACCAGAAGAATCTTAGGTAGTTTCTGTGGTTTGGTTCCACACTGACTTGATGGAACATTCCTTCAATGTCGCACATGAAAGCGATATATTTTTCTTCCTGAAACGGGATAAAATGCCCAACAGACTGTTAGTTAGGTCGGGACCTTGTAGTAGAGCTTTATTAAACTTTTCTCAAATTCAACACTACAATCATTAACAATGCGAATTTAACTTGGTTTCCTGTGGTTGTTTATGCCATGATGAGGTATAAACCATACATTCTTGTTCAGGATGTCGGATGGTGGTACCTTCTCTGCATACCCTTTTTCTATGGTTTCAATCATTAATCCTTCGTAGTCTTCTCTATAACTTACCGCACGATTCTTTCTATGGTGAAGTTTTAACGTTCTTGTCAAAACCATCTTCATGTTTTTGGGTAAGGATAATTGGTAGCGACCGTTGTTTCTTTGAGTGTTATTGCTAAGCTTCTTTATAAATTTTCTTTCATCGCGAGAGTAGGTTTCTCTATTTTGTTCCACACAATCCATCTCAAACATTAGATTCTTCAGGTAAGGATCCAGGACTTCTTTAACCTGTGTTAAAGACTGCTAGATTTGTTTTGATGGCATCAGGGTAATTTTCTTCACCTAAATTGACATATCTTGGTTTAAGTCCACTAGAAATGAAATGAATTGGAATTTTGTCCTAATTTATTGAGAAGAGATATTTCCGCGTCTTTATCGTAGAACATTCGAAAGTCTTCTTTGCAAGAGTCTCTTCATACTATCATTTCATCATAAGATCAGTTATCTTCTTGCTGGTTATTAGTGCCTTATCCAACATTATGCTGAGACTTAAGTTCTACGCTCGGACCATCTAATTGGAGCTTCTCTACAGCACAAACGTTGATAAAGGTACCATCAGATAAATCATCTTCCAGTGCATATGCTAAGTATTTTGTGTTCTGGTTTGTCTTCGTGAAGCTACCAGACTGAAACTATAAGTGAGAGGGACCAATTGTTATCATCTGAACCAACACAATTGGACACAATTCTCTACTTTGACCTTCGATCAGCTTCTATCTCCTGTTTGTTTTCCACTCTTTCCCGTTATTTCTTCAGATATCTTCAACGTGTAACAGTGTTGGATGTGACCATTTTTCACAGGTTTGTCTGTTCTTACAATACTTGTACGAATACGACGAACTTGCTGAAGACATCCACCACAAAGTCATTCATTGTTCACAAATTGTCTTCGATCTACAAGACTGATTCTTTTAAATTTATAGAAATTTGATGCCATGCTTGTTGCCACAGCAAGGAAATGTGTCTCTCTTCTCGTCTATACCACTGGTAGCTAAACATGTATGACATTTTTTTTCTGTCAACAGGTCCTTTTCTTTCGTCTTTGTACTGGTAATCTTTGACTAGTTTTAGTGCTATTACTGGATTTTTTGCGATTCGTGTTGCAGTGGAGAAAGTGTGCCGATGTTGCTACTTGTTGAAACATGTAAGAATGAAGCATGTTAGTTTCACGCTATGCGAACTTCATACGTTGTGTGGTACAGTGGGTTGACTACCGAGTTTTACATGTTCTGGGTTTCGTTGAAAATGCTGACTCTATACTTAATTGAAAATAGATAACAATTATTATTGATCAGTATTAATTCAGCAGAATATCTTTCCTCTGATCATCATATTGCAATAATCAACAAACATGACTTTGTCTTTTGTTTTCCATGAAGTGGAATTAATATTAATGGAAAATT